GTCACGTCCTGGAAACCTAGTGCCGGGAAAATCGGATCTGTTGGCCCAGCTCTGCCTAATGAGCTGAACACGTTCTACTGCCGCTTCGAATCTGCCGATGCCTGTCCTACTGTCTTTCCTGATTGCCTCAATCAAGGTGCGTTCACCGTGACTCAGGAGGAAGTCAGGCGTGTCTTGTCCAGCACCATTGTCCGGAAAGCCCCTGGCCCGGACGGCATCCCTCCTCGTGTCCTGAAACTGTGCTCTGAGCAACTTGCTCCTGTGCTAACAGACATTTTTAACCTGTTGCTAAGGAACTGTACTGTGCCGAACTGCTTTAAAGAGTCGACCATTATCCCAGTTCCTAAGAAAACTCCTGTGACATGCCTTAATGACTATCGCCCTGTGGCCCTCACTTCTGTCCTAATGAAGACTTTCGAGCGGCTTGTGCTGGACTTCATTAAGAGCCAGATCCCTGTGAGTGTTGACCCGCTCCAGTTTGCTTACAGACAGAACAGGAGTGTGGAGGATGCCATCTCCTTTGCTCTGAACTCTGTCTACAGTCACTTGGACAATAGGAAATCTGTTGCAAGAATGCTGTTCATTGATTATAGCTCTGCTTTTAATTGTCTTGTCCCAGGTAAACTGATTGAAAAGCTCATGTCTCTGGGTTTAAGTGTTGCCATGTGTAAATGGATCTATAGCTTTTTAACTGACAGATCTCAGAGAGTGAAAATCAATGACTGTTTTTCAGATGTTGTTTCTGTGAGCACTGGATCTCCTCAGGGATGTATTTTGAGTCCTTTACTTTTTACACTGTACACTCATGATTGTGTGTCTTCCTCAGACTCTAACCTGATCATCAAATATGCTGATGACACCACCATCATCGGTCTCATCAGTAATAACGATGAATCCTCTTATAGAGCCGAGATCCAAAACGTGGTTCAGTGGAGTAAGGCTAACAACCTCCAGCTGAACGCATCCAAAACATGTGAACTGGTCTTTGATTTCAGTCGCAACAGTTCTCATTTGCCTGTCGCAATCGATAACTCCCAAGTGCAGATTGTAGAGGAGTGTAAGTTTCTGGGTCTAACTCTGTCTGATGACCTGAAATGGGTTAAAAACACTGACCGAGTCGTAAAGAAAGCTCGTCAGCGTCTCTACTTCCTGCGGAAACTTAGAGAATTTACCAGTAACTCTAAGATTCTGTTGAACTTTTATCGCTGCACCATTGAGAGTTTGCTTGTTGGTTCTGTGTCTGTGTGGTTTGGTAACATCACAGATAAAGAAAAGAGAGCTTTAAACAAGGTGCTCCGCTCTGCAGAGAGGACCGTGGGCTGCGAGCTTCCTGTTCTGGAGGTTCTTTATCAATCCAGACTTTTTAACAGTGCCCTGAGAATTATCAGAGACTCTTCTGGCCACCCAGGAAAAGCCTTGTTCCAGCTTCTTCCCTCTGGCAGAAGATACTGTTCTCTGAGATGCAGGGACATCTCGTCATGCTAACAGTTTTTTTCCACGAGCTGTTAACAGTTTGAATAGAGCACTTTAATGTTTTGCACTCGTATAGATCTGTTTTAAGTTGGTCAACTTCACGGTGACATTTGTTGTGACATTTGTTTACTGTTTTTAAAATTTGTTTTGTTTTTGTCTTTTAGTGTTGTTTTGTGTCTGTACTTGTCCTGTGCACACGGGGAACTTTTACAAATATATTCCAATGTGGTGTATACATACTGCAAATGGCGAATAAAATGAATCTGAAATCTGAATCTTTGTATTGATGGTAGAGTAGGTGGCGCCAGTGTCCACCAGGGCCATCAGGTTGTCGTCCTCCACCCTTATGGGAAGCATAGGCTCTGCAAGCACCTTGTCCCCTGGATTTCCTAGGCAGCCCTAGTAAGATTGTTCATGTTCATACTCGCCCCAGTAGTTCCCCTGCTGGTAAAATTGTCCATCTCTCGGGGCCAGGTTGTCATTCGGAGCCGTCCATGGGGAGGGAGGGCCTGCGCGCTCTGGTCTGGGTCCCATGCCTCTCTGGGGGCCCCTCCCACGCACCATCTCAGGCGCTCCATGGTAGTAGGAGGCCTCTCCTTCAAAGGGGCAGTCCTTCGCCCAGTGACCGTGCCTGTAACAGAGCCGACACACATCCCTGCCCCCTTTCCAGCTTCCACCCCTTCTTCCTCCCCGGCCCCCACGCCCACCACCTCTGGCCCCTCCCCTTGTCCAGTCCTGTCGTGGTGGAGTGGGAAGTCCAGCAGGCATATTAGTCATCTGATTACTAGTTCCTTTTTTATTTTGGGTGGCTTTATTTCTAGCTTCACTAAGCTGTAACTTCAAAAGTTGACAAGTCATATCTTCAACACTCTTTCTTTCTTTAGTTTTATTTTCAACATATCGCTTAATGTGAAAGATTAAATTAGTCTTCCACTGTGCTGAATCTGGGTTAATATTATCTGGGTTTTCCTCAATTTTTGAGCGTATTGTTTCTGGTAAACCATTCAAAATAGCTGCTCTAAAAGGCATGACTTCACTGACCTTGTGAGGGTGTCTTCCTACTGTGTCCATCCACTTGGTCACACTCCTGTCATAAAATACAAGTGGGTCCTCAGACTCCAGCCAAGTTAACTCACGAGGGGCAGAAGACAGCGGAGTTGGAAAGTTTTCCCTCAGTGCTTCATACCAGGCATTTGCATACTGGCCAAATCTGGAAGAATCACAAACATCAGCAGTACCAGCTTGTCTTTCAATAGCGTCTCTCTCCCAAGGTTTACTGCATGCTGCCAACACTGCCCGGACGTCACCCATCGCCACATCATGACCTGTAAACCATGTGTTGAGACTGGAAATCCAGTTTCCAGCTCCTTGACACAATGGAGGCATTTTGTCTTTTATAGTCTGCATGTCACTTACAGAAAAAGGATGGTACTCCCCAGCTGCGCCTCGTCCTGGTCTCAGAGGGAACATGGATTTTGTCTGAGACCTGGTTCTGCTTGCCACCGGTCTAGTTTCCCCAGGCTCCTGGTCTCCGTCATCACTACTATCGTCAGAAAAGAATTTAGCTCCTTTTTTAGCCTGTTTAGCTTTAATTGCTGGTGGGGCCATGGCACCCTCTCCCTTGTCACTTTCACTGTCCGTCCTAGTCATGGCTCTGCGTGCGGCTTTATTAATTAATTTTGCATTCTCCTGTCTAGCGGTCTCGTAATCATGGGTCCTACTTGGGGTTTCTTCTCTCTCAACTCTGTCTGTGGTGCATTCAAAGGTCGGTTTCCTAGCTCTAATATTTCTGAGAGAGTGCAGGAGCAGCTCCTGCACCTCTTGTATGGGTGGGGGTTGGTGAGGGGTGTGTGGGAGCTGTGGCGGGAGGCTGACAGCTGGATTTTGACTCGGATCTCTATTGTCCCCCACAGACTCCTCTTCTGTCCCTTCGTCAAATTCCCTGTCTACAAAGTCATTGTCCCCTCTCTTTCCTACCGCCACTTCTCCTGAAAATGTATATTGTGGCAGTATTAGATTTGGCTTACCTGGTTCTAAACCCAGAGAATATTTTGGTGGAGCCGTGGGTAGGGATGGGTATATATTACTCACCGGCATTGCTCCGTTTTCTGTTTCCTTGTCTTTACTTACCATCGGTAATTTTGCCAACGCCGTGGCAGCCAAAGCAAAATTATGTACCTTGGTCCTCAGTTTCTCAGCCTTTTTTAGTTCCTTCTTAATTTTCCTACACTCATTCCAACTCTTTCCCTGCTTTCCCTCAAGGTCTAGTTTATCCTGTTTTAAATTATTTTCCTCTTCCCGCAAAATCTTAGCTAATGCGGACGCTGTCATATACTCAGGTATGACCCTTTTGTTCTGTATTTTTTCCCATGCTTTCACAGCCTTTCGTTTTGCCTTGTTCCTGTGTTTTTTATCCAGACCACTCAAAATCTGAGCCTCTATTTCTCTATATAGCTGCTCGATTTGAATGCCTGTCTCCATTTTTCGGGGGGGCCCAAAATTCCCCCAGGTTCCAATGGTGAAAACCTAACTTGTGTGTTGACGCGTCCGTCAACCACGCTAGTCACAGCGGGCTTTCCTGTTTCTGGCAAGGCTCTCAAAAAATCTTTACTTTTAATGTATTCTCGCAGGGTTCTAGATAGACTCCTATTTTATTTAATTTTAACGTATTTTCGCAAGGCTCTCACTACTTTTTAGGCTTTTACTATTTTTACTTTTTGAATTAGCTCCTCCGTGGACAAAACTCCTCTCCCCTCGATTTGGTTAGTCCAATATGCAGATTTTTAATTAGTCAAAAGGTATCTGCTTACCTTTAGTTCAGCGGCCGCTTTGAGGAGAGATGTAGAGTCCAAGGGGAGGCTGAAAGTCATCAAAGGGATCACGTCGAGGGTCACCAATTAACGTATTAAAAAATGACGTGTTCAAAATCCCTTATAAAGATGACCATGATTCAGAAAGTTAAATTCAAAAAGGTTTATTTCCCTAATACAAAAAGAATCTAAAACAGCTGTTCGGACCAAAAGTAACTATCCCTTATTCTCTATATAAAATATAAAAGTATGACTTTGGTGGGCGCTCCACGCAAATCACACACTGCCCCTGGTCCAGAAAAAACTAACTAAAAACACATTCAAGCTATTCATTAAGTAATGTGCAAGAAGAAGGGGGCGTGTCGTATCAGTCAGCTCTCGGTCCCGTGATCCGGCCTCCATCAGATCTCCTCGTCTCCTCA